TATTCCTTAGCATCGCCACATCGCCACATCATCATGTAGAAATCACGTGCACACAATGATCGCGTCGCTTGACTTGGCGCTTACTTTACCCTTCCCTGTGCTTCTGTCTCTCTCAGCTTTGAATCTTGCAAAGATGGGTACAGCTCAAGACGTACAGCGAGAGTCGTTTGCAGAGTCGTACTCTGTAGCTCAAGCCCCAGCAACGACGTCCTCTGCCCATTCATTGGGTCAATATTCTCGATTTGGAAAGATCTTTGTTTTTATCGCAGATGGAATACCTTGTTCGAAAATTCGAATTTACACTAGAAGGGATGTTTCCTTCTATCTGGAATATGATCCAAGTTTGGAATACCAGAGCGATCCAGTTTGAGAATAAGAGCACTGCATAGGGATTTGATCAAGTACAAAGACCGAGTAGCCTCGTAAGGTGTTCAAATATAACTCTCTTGTTCTTTGATCGTCGTTTCTTCTGGGATATGAATGGACGGGATCGCGTCAATACAGCTTGATACTGAACAAGATTGAAGAGATCATACGTGGAATAGGGAAAGAAACGGATGAACAACTAGGTCGCAGTTGAACGTTGAACGTTGATATATCAATCTTGATTTGCGCACCATGCATTCTTTTCCTTAGTTCAATGCTACACTTTGAGAAGCCGCCAGACTGTCTTGAGTCCATTATTCGCGGCAAGCTCCCCTCACTTCAGCCCAAGTGCTCTGCTAACACTCAAGGGTACCTTTGACAAATTACTTGAGTTGGGTTAGCTGGTAACTGAAGCGGCTATAAATGGGAGCGTGAGAACATGACAACACTCGCGCTCAAGAGTCACTTGCTGTGCTGTCTTCCGCAAGGCATTCACCTACCCCAAGCCTCGAATTTCTCTTAGATCTATACCACCATCATATACGGCTGCCCAGCGACTCTGTGAACAGAACAGGACAAAATGGCAGTATTGTCCCTGCCGTTGACCTTTAATAATTCGTTCTGGACACAGGATTACAGGAAAGGCGTAGAAGTTCTCTTTCAGAAGCTTGAGCAGGCAAGTACTCGTTCTGTCAGAGAATCAGTATCTCCTCTGACTGTATTTTAAAGGGGACCATCGAGAATGAACAGATTATCGCGTTCATACGGGTATGTTCGCTTTAACAATCACTTGGATTATACTAATTAAAAATTCACCCTGCAGGCAAGAGCTGATGCTGAAACCCAACTCGCAGAATCATTAAACAAAACGGCTCTCATTGGGACGACAGGCATGTAATTTTTTGTGTTTTATTCGAACACTGCTCATAGGAGCTACTTACAGACTCTGGATTCGCTGCTGATGACGGAGCTTCTTTACTTATGGCGTTTCGTGGTCTCCAGGCAGAGTCCATTACTCAAGCTCAAAAGCATTTGAATATCTCCAAGGAGCTCAACAGTTTGGTGGCCGATCCGTTTGTTGAATGGGCCAAGGGCTACAAAGTACTCGCGTTTCACGTTCCATACCCACCTTTCTACTGACACGTTTCAAAGGACCGCGTCATGCAAAGTAAAGGAGTGGTCCTCGATCAGTGGCTCTACAGCTACGAGCATAATTTGGGTGAAGTCGCTAAACTCAAGCACCAGTATTTAGCCAAGGTAAGAAAGGCAGATGAAGCCGAAGATGAGTACGTTGCCCTTGATTTCTCTTTTTCCGCGAAATATCTCAAGGTTTTCCCAGCGCGAAGTTTGCCCCCAATTCCGGTGGCACTGATCATTATACTACGTCTCCTCGACTTCGCCCGCTCGATGCTCGTTCTCCTCCCCAGCGTACCTCCAGCGTTTCCGAACGTATTGCCGCCCGATTGAAGGACATTCAGAAGAAGAGTGCCCATACATTCTCAGCCAAACCCGAAACTACCTCCTTGCTTTCGGAGGAACCCGAGGATACCGAGAAGGAAGAGCCTAGAGTAGACAAGGGAAAAGGAAAGGCAGTTGGTCTCGAGGCTGCATCTCCAATGCAACTAAACTCTCCCCTCCCCATGTCGCCCCCATTGCCTCCAAAAGTGGAAATACCTGGATCCCCTGTTCCTCCCCCGGCGGCAGAGCCCATGCTTTTGGCCGGACTTTCCCTTCCTCCTGCTGCTGTCTCTCGGCTTTTGACGAAGGCAGCCGGCGAGCTCAACATGCGTTCTGTCCGGTTCCCGTTATTGGGAGAGTACAAAGACTGCTTTACTGGCGAAGAATTTGTAGCATGGTTGAAGGACAATGTTCAAGGCTTGGGCGGAAGTCTGGACCGCGCCGAACAAGCAGCAAAGGATCTTACAGAGAGGGACGGTTTACTTCGACGTATCGGAGAATTAGGAAATGATTTTGAGCATTCGGACGAAGCCTTTTATCAATTCCGTCCAAAGGTATGTGCGACTACCATTGAGCCTTTATCCTCTGTTCACTCCGCTACATAGGCCTTCCATCTTGAAAGCCAAAATGCAGAAGCGGCTGCCTCTCCCATCAAGCTTCAACCAGACCAGCTACTCAAACGCACCAACACGTTCTTCAATGTTGTCACAAAAGCTCTCAACTCGAACCAATCATCGGAACCTACTCACCTCAAAGCTCGCCACGAAGCCGAAGACGCGGACAAGGCATATCGTGTCGCCGTTCGACAAGTTGACAGGCAACGGCTGGGTTTGGAAGAGAGACTTGAAGACACCCTCAAGACGCTTCAGAGATGGGAACTTGAGCGGCTTCGTGCTGTGAAGACGGGTAAATTCACATCTTTTTCTTGTCACAACAAGTTACTAACGGCCGATTTAGTTCTTCTTCAGTACCAAGGTACACTTGCGAACCTACCCAAATCCCTTGAGCCTGCCATGAAGCGCCAAGAAACTCTGATCGCCGCTTACCAGCCAGAAAACGACTTGAATGCCCTCATCGAGCGTTACCGCACTGGTCCGTTCCGACCTGATGCTCAAGTGTACGAATCAGTTGCTCATGATGAGTCGGATGTGGTATTTGGCATTGACTTGAGAAAGTGGGCTGAGAGTGGATGGAGTATGTTGACTTCTCCTGAAGAGGAGACGAAGCAAACGATTCCTCCCGTTATCGAGGCGCTGTTAAAGGCGATAACTGCTGCGTATGAGAAGCTTCCTGCTGACGAAGGTACGTGATTTCACATCTGCCTTTGGCTGTGAGTGTTCAATTGACTTGAACTTTAGAGAGGCGCAGGTCGTGGATTTATGAAGTTCCACTGTCCGCGATACATCATTTGCGTGAAGCTCTGAACGCGGTACCTCCGGACCAGCCTTTTAAACCAGAAATGTTTGAACCTTTCGACGCTCCCGTCATTGCTGCTACTATCAAATTGTGGTTGCTAGAACTCGACCCCCCGCTTGGACTTTACGATACGTGGGATGAATTCCGAAAACTGTACCCTACCATGGGTTCTACTCTTGTCGTCAAAGTGGAAGGTGAAGACGGCAAGGAGGAAAAGATCAAGGAACTGGGTACCCTGCTTCAGCGTCTTCCCAGGGTCCATCTTTACGTCCTTGATGCAATTGTTAGTCATCTCAAGAAGTGAGTTGGATCCTATTTCGCTTTTCTGTCGCGTATATTGACTGTTCTCGCGGTAAGGCTCATTCAATCCACCAAAGTCGAGGAGAGTGATGAAATTTACATCACTAAGCTTGCGCTCTCGATTGGACGCAGTATGTTTGTTACATTGATCCAAACTTAAGGGACCCTAAAATATTTTTTTAGCCGTCGTTCGACCGAAATTAGAGACCGAGATGACAGTCCAAGATCGTCATCCGACATGTATGTTGCATAGACTTGTATTGACTCAGTCGCTGACATTTTCGTTGCAGTACTTTTCATTGATCTTCTTAAGGATTATGATGCCATTCTACCTCCAACAATTGCTCGCAAAAAGCGGGAATCAGAACGTAAAATACCCCTTCGAAAACGTACAGCCCCGATGGACATGAGGATTCACAGAAGCAGGCTTTCGACGGGTATCGATCCGAAACAATTGCTAGCCGCACAACATGCAGCGCAAGGCAGAACCAAGTCTCCGCCTCCCGTTCCTCCGATGCCTTCTATACCCGGCCCACCACCCGTTCAATCTCCAACTGTGCCTCCTCCTCCTCCGCCAGTTATTTCGCCCCAACCTATTCCTCCGCCTCCGCCACCACCACAGGTCGTTGCCACCCCGCCTGCCGAGCAGGCGGCAGTCCCTGCAGCTCTTGTGGTCCCCCCACCCCCGCCAATGGCTTCTACCCCTGTTGCGAACGACGTTCCTCCAAGACCGTCTTTCAAGACTCCCCCGCCGGAAGATGAAGACCTTCCTCCTCGGCCGACATTCAAGGAGCCGCCTCCAGAGCCTGAGGAAGCCGAGGCACCTCCGCGACCGCAATTTGTCGATCCGCCATCGGAGCCTAGTTCCCCTCCCCCTGCGACATTGGTCGCCGGTAAGAACGTCAAACGTGCCAGTGGCTCTCGCACCTCTAGTCCATCACCCAAAGTAGCGTCTCGCAGTCCATCCCCTCCAGCAGATCAAACCCTGAGTAATGTCAAATCTTCTATATCAAGGTCTTCCTCGGGAGGAGTTCGTGGTCCAAGAATAGCCCGTGGACCTCGAGCTCCTGGCGGATCCGCTGGTGGACATAGAGGCAGTATCACTGGCTCTCCTCCTACACCTACAAGCCCAGGTGCAAAACGTCTTTCAGGAGGGGGTGGGAGCCGGCCTTCGAGTGTGCTAGGCAGGTCCTCGGCATTCTCTCGTAGAACGATGGCTAGTGATGCTGAGGATGAGGTTGTCGATAAGTAAGAGTCAAGACGGCGTCTGAGCTTGCGGGATTTTGAACCTGAGGTTCGCTTGCTTTGAATGGAACGCTTACATATAATGGATATGTTTTATGTCGTATGCTAGTATAGGACTCATCTATGGACTAGTTTGGTACTTATGTATATTGGCAAGTGCCCAGGTCAAGTGCCAAATTACTGTTTAACAACTGGCTAAGAGTAATGTAAAGTAAGCATTAATGGGGTAGTGGTAACCTGGGTCGTTGCCATTATGTGTGTTCGACCCGCCGGGGGTTCGATTCCCTCTTAATGCATTCAGCTCCTTAATCTGGAATTTTTTGTTGCTCTGTTGAAATATATTGATGTTATTTATTTGTTTTCGCTTCACTCATATTCATCGACCTTCTAAGCGGATATTTCTCATTCTTTGTCGTCGTTGAGCGGACCTAACTTGGTGTATATCTTAGATCATACGGATCCTCCGTTCATCTCCAGGACGCTTCGCGCTAATGTGAAACTTCAACTCGCATACTGTACAGCGGACAAGACTGACTGAGGACCGCTAATAAGTATAGGCAAGCTGAAATAGGATGACAGCAAGCGGTGTTCGGATGGATATAATTTGTACATCAGGATGTAGTTACTCGAAAGTATAGACGCAGAAACTGGTTTTGAAATGAGAAGGTTGCATCGATGTGCGTGCGCATTAAGAATATAGAGTGTGGGTAGACAAAGTACAATGATGGAAATACAGTTGCAGTCGTAAAGGTCATGCAAGTCATAACGGTCAAAAAGACCTAGATTTCACCAGAACAGATTACCGAAGACACTTCCTCTCCCTTCACCCTTGTACCCTCCACCGAGCAAGGTTCCAACAGCTACACTGACGGGGCGCATGGGGGTCGAGTCAAAAACGTGAGGGCATGGTTGGAGAAGGGGAGCTGGCGTCAAGCGTGGTGCCTCCAGTTCGCGTTCGTATATGGACGGTTGGCGCGGGGCAGAGGCAGAGAGTGAAAGCATGTGCGATGATGAGGTTGACCGCAGTATTGACGAAGACGAACTCGATACAGGTAGCGGCTCCGACGGAGAGTCGAAGGAGGAACGGGCAGCTTGAAGACGGCTGAGGATCTGGATAGTGCAGTGAATAATATGTAAACCAAATGAGGGTTCAGACCGAAAGAAGCTGACGCACTTGTTCGTACAAAGCGATTTCCCCGTCCAAATGATCTTTAGCCAATGTTTCAAAATCCTCCACCTTTTGTGAATGATACGTTTCCATTTCTGCCATTGTCGTGTTCAGGACCGTTTCACATCGAGAAGCCATGTCCTCGTCGGTCTGGGGTGCTATCTGTCAGGAAATTATAAAGCCAAAGGGTACAAAAAACAACATACATGACCTTCCCGCCCAGCCTCTCTGTATCTTGTAAGAGTTGATCTATGGGTGCTCACGACACCCTCGTATATTGGTAATGGATGAGCCACACCCTTGAGTGATTCATGAGTCGCAAGTTGGGTGCGTCGTGCCTGTAAATACGATGAGATTCAGCTACACAGAAGCAAAATCTTAGCGGCACGAACATGATCATCATACAAATCCGCAACGCTCTGGAACGTCTCTGCGGTCCGCTGAAGCGATTTAGTAAGTGCTAGACATTCCTGACATCCTTCTCGCCAACACCAAGCTCCGTCTTCATTCATCAGACCTTTTCCTTTATATCTATCTCTGGGCTTCAGCCCAGCAAGCTTACTCTCATCCTCGTCTTCATCTTCCTCCGCGATTCCAGCGATATGGCCCGGAGATGCCAGAGACTTCGAAGTTATCAATGATAGTAAAGAATAGGAAAGTAAACGTTCAGCTTTGGACATCTCTGCTAAACAGTCAGATACGAGTGTCGTGATGCCTATGCATAGGGACTCACCAAGTCTAGCCTCCCGCACGCCCCCAAAGATGCTCCGCATGCCTTGTACGCCTTTCCCAACAGCGCGAGTATGTGATGCAAAGCGTTCTACTGCTTCTTCCGCATCTTCAAGATCGAGATTAAAAGCTGGATGGAAGACCTGGGCGTAAAATGATGGGCCGGCAGGAGCTTTCGAAAGATGTAAGGGAGCTAGTCGTTTCCATTCCTTGTCCTCAGGTAAATGACCAGCAAAAAATGGATAGGTCTCGCTCAACTTACAGAATCACTTTCGCAGCTCAAGAACCACGTCACGACTTCAGCATACCGGGCTACTGGATGCCTGACTATTCTCCCTATGTATCGCTCAAGATCTCCTCGTCTAGCCTCAACAAATTCATCGCTGAAGCGGCCTGCGTACTGCTTCTCTGGAAGAGGAGGTAATGCTATCCCGGGAAGCCTTCGAGCGAGTGCAGTGTGAAGAATGACAAATTGAGAGAATCGGCGCTGGACAGTTATACGTGTGGGAGAAGACGGCGGTTCGTCGCGATTCGGTTCGACAGTCGTAGCGTTGAACAGCGATGTGACGTTGTACACCGTATAAGATCCGGATAAGATCGATGTACGTTTAGAGGGAGAATGGACCAATACTTTGAAGGGTGGAAGCTTGGATTTCCATGCATGGCCAGCGTCAATAAAGTGACGATCTGCCTCTGGAAGACGTGAGCCGTTGATGCGAGCATTTTCTTCAGCTTCAGCTAGCTCTGAATCCACATCATCTTCGTCTTCTTCGGATATAACGCTACTCAGTTTCTCATGACTTGGCCATATCCCGTCTCCGAAATGAGTAGTGGTAGTAATCGTTGTATCTGCAGCTTTTCCCTTCAAGACCCATTCTTCAGCTCCGCTGGTTACAAAGCTTGAGAATCTATTAAGGCTCTTTCCTCCGAGTAAACTTTGTCGAAAGCTGGGAAACATCCATTCACCGGTGTTCTGGGGTATAATTGGCGTTGCTGAGGATCCAGCAACGGAATTCCTAGGGGTGATTGAGCTCGATGAGGTTTCCTTTTTCCGTCTGAACTTGCTTGGAGGCGCGGATAGGTTGGGATTCGCGGCATCTGGCTCGAAAGTCGCAGTGAATTCAGAAGTATACTGCAGCAAAGGTCAGATCTAAACATAGCACAAGGTCTGCTGCGTGCGCACCGTGAAGTATGATCTAGGAAGCAATCCGATTTCCCCATCTACATCGCTGACCAGACTCCAGCCATCTGAAACATCCTCTTTCACAACTTCAAGCTCATCTCCAGCATGGACTGTGAGCTCTCGAAACTCTGCTTTTCCTTCGAAGTCATACAAGGCTCTCGCCGGTCGTCGGTTCTCGGTATTTTCAAGAGTGTCTTCATCCGATAGATCGCTGGAAAGCTGATGTTGGGTCCAAGCAGTCGAGGCATTTATACCGGCGTCGAATTCAGAATGAGGACGGATAACACTGGCTGAAGGAGATTTTGTAGCTCGCGGGAGAGTCGCCATGGCTCAGATTCGATATATGTATAAGTAGAAAAGATAGACAGAAGGTCGGACTTGGTGGGTGCTAGGAAGAAACACTAATACAGTAACACTGATAGGAGTCATCACTCAATTTCGAAATTCAGTGTTCTATCAACTCTCTACAGCCATTTCGAAATTCAGTATCATATCATATGTTTAACTGATGCCAAGAACAGAGCTTTGTGGTCAAAAAAGAGAGGTAAAGTCGAACATTGACATATACAGAAATCTTGACTATGATCACACATTCTTCGAGCCTAATTTGAGAATGGGTTTGAGACCCATCACACCAGGGTTGTTTCTGCTGTTGAAAACTTGCTCAATACTACAGAAAGTTCGTCAATCCAATTCAACACAAATAGTGTAACAACTTGCCTTGCAAGAGAACGCCCTTTGGTTTCGGGCATATAATACCATGCTGCTGCAGCCGTGATGAACAGGCAACTCATAAAAAGCCAGTACGCTATGTTTAAAGAGCCCCCATTAGCAGCCGCGAGCATAGAATACGGAAGCATACGTACGCCCACTAGTAGTATTATTCAAAAATACAGGGAATGTGAGTGCTACCAGTGTATTCACACCTTGATTGCACGAATTTGCGATCGATGATACAGCAGCACGATTGTGCAAAGGTTGAATTTCCGATGCATATATCCTTGTGGTTAAAGCCCAAGTACTTCCGAAAGCAATGAGAAAGAGGTAGAGACAGACGATGACGATCCATCGGGCTGCCGAGTTGGAAGTTGCTCCTGAGGCGTAAATGCTACCAACGATGCATATTATACATCCCATGATGAGACCGCCGAAGATTGTGGACGTCCGCCGTCCCATGCGATCCATAAAAGGTGTGCAAATGATAGTGACAGCGATGTTAATTAGTCCAGAGACTCCGGAAGCTAAAAATTTTGACGTAGAACCTGAGAGGCCCGCTTGTGCAAATAGAACCGGGGCGTAGTACAAAAGCCCATCAATGCCTGAAAGCTGCTGCATCCCTGATCATCGTCTATGAGTATATAATGTCGAAACAAAAAAAGACCGGAAACTGCCCATGAGGAAGCAAGCGAGGAGGGTGCGTTTTCTTGCATCCTTTTTGAAGATATCTCGAATGCGCGCAGAGTTTTCGTCAGTGTTGTTCGTGACTTCTTCCCATTCTTCGGTATGTGCAGCGGCGACATTGGCATTCGTATGTAGTTTATGCAAAGATTGCATTACTTCTTCAGCCTTTGCCACTCTTCCCTTCATGTACAACCAACGCGGGCTCAGGGGAAGGAGGAGTGGGCAGCCGATTGCGTAAACGAGGGCCAAGGATGCCTGTAATAGGAATGGAGTCCGCCATGCAAAAGAGCCGGCTAAGTGAACAGTTCCATAGCAGCAGAAAAATCCACAGGCAACACCGATTGTGACCGCGACTTGAATTATGGAAGTTACTCGACCTCGAGAAGCAGCGGGAGATATCTCAACGCTTAAAGAAATTATCAAGTTGTTCAGAGGTGTTGAAGAAGACTCATACCAATATACTGCCATGATAGGGAGGAAGAAACCTTCACCAATCCCTGCCAATGCTCGACCAACGATTAAGGCAGCTAGATTTGGTGATACGGTCTCTATAACAGATCCGGCGCAAAACATGATTGCCCCAAGAGTCATGGTATAAACTCGGGATATTTTGTCAGAGAGTAAACCGGAATAAAGACCCGACAAGGTCGACGTTACCAGGATGGTTCTGGGTCACCAAGTTGAAAGGAAACTCAAGATTGCTCGTTTGGTTCAACTTACGCGACGACAACACCCTGTAATGTCGAGGATAGTTTGAATCCACTGTTAATAAACTGATCCATGACCGTTATCGAACCAATGCTCCCAGTGTCGAA